ATAACATTACAAATGCTGTCTGGAAATGCCAAGATGCGTTAAATTTTTTAAAAAATGTGCATAAAAAAACCCCAAAACACTCAATTGACAGTCTTCAACTGTCCAATTTTGGTGAGCTCTTGCAAATTGTAGCCTCTTTTTCCTATTTGTAGTGGAGATGAGTGGTACCCGGTGGGGTCTTCTGCTGTTGTAGCCCATCCGCCTCAAGGTTGTGCGTGTTGTGGCTTCACAGATGCTTTGCTCCATACCTCGGTTGTAACGAGTGGTTATTTCAGTCAAAGTTGCTCTTCTATCAGCTCGAACCAGTCGGCCCATTCTCCTCTGACCTCTAGCATCAACAAGGCATTTTCGCCCACAGGACTGCCGCATACTGGACGTTTTTCCCTTTTCACACCATTCTTTGTAAACCCTAGAAATGGTTGTGCGTGAAAATCCCAGTAACTGAGCAGATTGTGAAATACTCAGACCGGCCCGTCTGGCACCAACAACCATGCCACGCTCAAAATTGCTTAAATCGCCTTTCTTTCCCATTCTGACATTCAGTTTGGAGTTCAGGAGATTGTCTTGACCAGGACCACACCCCTAAATGCATTGAAGCAACTGCCATGTGATTGGTTGATTAGATAATTGCATTAATGAGAAATTGAACAGGTGTTCCTAATAATCCTTTAAGTGAGTGTAGATGACACTGCACACCTGTGAACGATGAGTAATGATGTATATATGACACTGCACACCAGCTGGACTGATGTCTATACTGTATAGATCTACACTGCACACCTGTGATGGCTCTGCGTATCTCTGTCGCTGCCGCTTCCCTCATCTCTAGAGACGCTTGTTCGCTGTACCAGGCTGTGTGTGGCGTGCAGATCAGATTAGGGGCGTCTTTCAAAGGACCCTGCGCAAAACTACACACACACACACACACACACACACACACAATAGACTTTGTTAGAAATCATTTAAGAAATCAGTGCAAATAAATCAAATCTTCTGTCACAACAAAAACTGCCACAGAAAAAATTCTCATAAATCTCTAAATAAAGCAACAGACGAGGAACTCTACCACTCTAAAGCCTGGAATCGTTAAGATTTTTTAATGTTTCTGAAAGAGTCGCTTCTGCTGCGTTTATTTGATTACAAATACAGTAAAACAGTGACATATTATTCCAGTGTAAATCAGCTGTTCTCTATGTAAATATCTAGTAAACTAATTTATTCCTGTGATCAAAGCTGAATGTTCAGCATCATTACTCCAGTCTTCAGTGTCACATGATCCTTCAGAAATCACTCTAATATGATGATTTATGATTATATAATAAACATTTATGATTATTATCAATGTTGAACATATTTTTGTGGAAACCGTGATACTTTTTATGTTTCAGAATTCTTTGATGCATAGAAAGTTGAAAAGAGCAGCATTTATTTGAAATAGAATCTTTTGTAACATTATAAACGTCTTTACTGTCACTTTTGGTCAAAATAAATTAAAGCTAATTAATTATTAGCTAACAAGAATACATAATAAAATGACTTAAATTAAAATTAAATGTACAAAATATGCAAATAAAAAAGTTCAATTTAAAATATTACAATAAATACTATAACAGCGTCAGGGATGTGTGTGTGAGCGTCAGGGATGTGTGTGTGAGCGTCAGGGATGTGTGTGAGCGTCAGGGATGTGTGTGAGCGTCAGGGATGTGTGTGTGAGCGTCAGGGATGTGTGTGAGCGTCAGGGATGTGTGTGAGCGTCAGGGATGTGTGTGAGCGTCAGGGATGTGTGTGAGCGTCAGGGATGTGTGTGTGAGCGTCAGGGATGTGTGTGTGAGCGTCAGGGATGTGTGCGAGCGTCAGGGATGTGTGTGAGCGTCAGGGATGTGTGTGTGAGCGTCAGGGATGTGTGTGTGAGCGTCAGGGATGTGTGTGAGCGTCAGGGATGTGTGTGTGAGCGTCAGGGATGTGTGTGTGTGAGCTGTGTGTGAGCGTCAGGGATGTGTGTGTGAGCTGTGTGTGAGCGTCAGGGATGTGTGTGTGAGCGTCACCTGAAGGGTTCGGTCTCGTGAACATCGAGAGCCGCTCCACGAATCCGGCCCTCCTTCAGCGCCTGAGAGAGAGCTTTCTCGTCCACCAGACCGCCTCGCGCCGTGTTTACCAGGAACGCTCCCTGACGCATCTAACACACACACACACACACACACGTTTACTTAGCTATCTAAATGAGGACATTCCATAGACGTAGTTTTATACTGTACAAACTGCATATTATATCCCCTTACACTAACCCTACCCATCACACACACACACACTAACCCTACCCATCACACACACAAACACACACACTAACCGGACCCCTAAACCTGCCAATCACACACACACACACACACACACACACACACACTAACCCTACTCATCACACACACACACACACACACTATCCGGACCCCTAAACCTGACCATCACACACACACACACACACACACACACACTAACCCTACTCATCACACACACACACACACACTATCCGGACCCCTAAACCTGACCATCACACAAAACATTCTGCATTTTTACTTTAAAAAAAAAACTTTAATTACTTTATTTTAATACTAAAGGAGGTTTTTGGAGATATTGTCAGGTTTTGGACACTTCTGGGTACAAATTTGTCCCCAAAATCTGGTTAAGTAGATACACACACACACACACACACACACACACAGTTTCAGATAGGTGTAATGATCCCGCTTCTCCAGAGGGAGGCAGTAGCAGCCTGCGGTATCACCAGTTACTGGTTTAAAAGAATGATTTCTTAAAGGACAAGTTCGGTATTTTACACTTAAAGGCCTGTTTCAAGATCGTTTCTGATGAAATAGAACGGTTAAGATTAAAATGTGGAGTGGTCTGGGGTGTTCACTGATATGCTCACACAAAAATCGCTGCAAAAGATGCTTTCCAACAGGTTTTATCGTAGTTTTTGAACAACTCCATTTGACTTGACTTGGACAAAAACTACGATAAAACCTGTTGGAAAGCATCTTTTGCAGCGATTTTTGTGTGAGCATATCAGTGAACACCCCAGACCACTCGGTGAGTTTAACGTCTTTGTAAACTAAAGTTGTTAAACTGCGTTGTTTCTGTGCACCTATGCAACCATTGTAGAGGTGGGGGAGGTGCAACCACAGAAACCGAAATTTCTCGGGACAGCAGCATGTGTCCACATTTTAATCTTAACCGTTCTATTTCATCAGAAACGATCTTGAAACAGGGCTTTGAGTGTAAAATACCGAACTTGTCCTTTAAAGATTCATCTCTGGCCACTCGAGCTGGTTCACAGAATCAAACTGAATCGAACTTTAGTTCCGGGTTGATGATGTGAGATGAAGGCTGTGTCCGAAATCACCTCCTACACCCCTAATGCCCAACTTTACAGCAGAAAAACACATGTTTACAGTCTGGTGTTAAAAGTGGGTTTGGTCTATATCGCTAATGTTGCCCTTTATGACGACTGTGAGGACGGTGAATTTTTTTATAACTCATCAGTTTAAATTATATTAAGCCTTAAAGTTGTGCATAATTAAGGGCGTGGCTACTTGAGTGACAGGTGGATTGCCTCTGATGTCACTACTAGCCGTTTGTCTGCTAGCGTTAGCGTCACGTCACCTCAGCTAATCCGCCTCGCTGCACATGTTCGTTTATCCAGGAGTGACGCGCGGCCAAGATGGCGACGGCCGGCTCCGCCCACTTTGGCCTTCAGAAACGCTCTTCAGAAACACTACGGGTGACGTCACACACACTACGCACATATGTTTTTACAGTCTATGGGAGACAGCCATTTGTAGTGGTGTCCCAAACCATAGTGGACATTATCAAGTGCACTTATTCAATCCCAAAATGCACCGCAATAACGAGTGTTCAACCAATGTACGCTCGACGGCTAAAGACGGTCACCGCGAATGAATTTCCTGCGTTCGCCAGAAGATGGCGCCCTCAGCTGAATCATCCATCCATCAGTTACAAGCGATTCATTCAGTTCGGTTCTTTTTGATTCGTTCATTTTGATCCGGTTCAGTTTGATTCTGTGATCCAGCTTGAACGAACAATCCATTCAAGGTTGGAACATCCCTGTGACTGTGTCGTCCTGTGACTGTACCTGTTTGATGGTGAAGTCATTGATGAGGTGATGGTTGTGTTCGTTCAGGTTGCAGTGCAGCGACACACAGTCGCTCTGGTAAAGCAGGTCCTGAAGTGTGTAAACCCGCTGGACGCCCAGCGATCGCTCCAGCCCGTCCTGCAGGTATGGGTCGTAGAAGATCACGTTGAAGCCGAAGACTTTCGCCCTGACGGCGACGGCCTGCCCCGAACGACCTGCACACACATCACACACAGCCTCCGTCAACGGGGATTGTAGGAGCCATACTTACCACCTTATTTAATTTTGATAAATTTGTTAATTTAAATATCAGAATGTTGTTGTATTATTAATTGTTTATTTCCCTGAGTGTGTGCCCTCTATAGGTGAGAAGGGAAAAGTTGTATAAAGGATAGGCCACCCCTGACAGGAAGGGGGCGCTGGTGCAAGAGCACACAGTCTTTTGACCGTGCACATGGAGCTAGGGTGGCATGGTGCAACAAACCTGCAAGCGGCCTAAAAGTTGTTTGTTTTGTTTTATGTTACAATGCATCTTTATTTTTGATTTAATAAACTTCAGTTATTTGTTTGGAACATCAACACGCCTCTCTGGATCTATTCATGGTACTTTGCACGCGTCAGAACCATAGCATCAGCATCTCCCACAGTGGACAAGAAACTAGTTTTCACCACTACAAATTGTCAAAAGAAACTTCTAGAGGTATGTGCTTGCGGAACCAAAGTGCTGAGTTAAATTTGAATGTTACGGGAAAAACTCAAGTTTGATGCTGCAAACTGTGGATGAAAGGATTAATTTGATGAAGAGTTCAAAGGTCTTGATGCATGCCATTTTAAAGAGGAATCAAAGGAAATTTGAAAAGTTTGTGTCTTTGGAAAGATGATATTTGCTTGATTGAGACAAAATGGAGGACAAGTCTTATCTAGAACAATCCCCAAACTCAGCTCAAAGAGATTTGAATGAGGTTGCTGCTCGTTTGAAAGCCTCTAGAGCAGGCAAGATGGCACACCTTACAAGACGAATTAATATTGTTAACTCTTTGATGACTGATGCTGAATATCTTGAAGAAGTAAAGGGAAACATGATGAAGTTCAATGAAATGTTTGTTGAATTCAAGTCTCTTCAAGAATCATATGTACAAATGTTAAGTGAAGAGGATAAAGTTGAAGATCTGAAAACCTGGTATGAACCAAGAATGAAACAAGTTGATATGTTTGTTTCTACTGTTGAGAAGTGGATGTCTAATATTCAAGAAGAATCAGACTTTCAAACTAGTACTCCAGTTTCTTCTGCTCTAAAAGTGACTGACCAGCTAAATGATGATGATGATAACACTTCAGTTGTCTTGTCTGTGCGTAGCAGTAGATCTGGCAGATCTAGCAGATCAAATTTAAGCAGATCAAGTGTGTTAACATCAGCCTCAGCTCGTATCTGTGCAGAGGCAGAGAGGGCAGCTTTACTTGCCAAAGCCAATACACTGCAACAAAAACATGCTATAGAGAAGAAAGAAGAAGAACTTAGAAAGATGAAGGAGGTGTGGGAAGTTCAAGCTGAAATTGCAGCCAACACCGCAAAAATCGAGTATCTCAAGTATGCTGAGACCTCAATAACCAATGGAAATGCTGTTGAAGATGATGCCATGAATGTGTATTGTAAGGAGATGTTGGATAAAACTCCAGTGCAACAAGATGTGCGCCCAAAAGAGACACTTCATGAACTCTCTACAGCACCAACTCAGACTACAAGACATTCTTTTCCTCAGAACAGCAATGCAATTCAACAACCCACCACCATGAAGACTGACTCCAAACTCCCTGCACAAATCTCTCATACAGCTCAAGCAAGACCTCTAGAAAGTAGAGAATCATCTTCATCTAATGTCATTCAAGGGCCTGATCTTGCTAAAATTCTTCAAAAACAAAACAACTTGACAGACATGCTTGTGAAACAACAACTTCTTTCCACCTTACCAAGAGGGGAAATTCCAATGTTTAGTGGAGATATTCTGCAGTACAGGTCATTCCTTCATTCTTTTGAGCACATCATTGAAACTAAAACAGATGATAATGCAGACAGGCTGCATTTTCTCATTCAGTACACAAGGGGACTACCACAGGAGCTGGTAAGAAGTTGCCAACACATGTCACCGAACCAAGGTTACCAAAAGGCAAAGCAGCTATTAAAAGAACACTTTGGTAATGCATATAGGATTTCATGTGCTTATATTGAGAAAGCTCTTTCTTGGCCTTCAATCAAGCCAGAAGATCCTAAGGCTTTACAGGCCTTCGCATTGTGTCTTAGAAGCTGCTGCAATAGTATGGAAGACTTGAAGTTCATGGAAGAACTGGACACAGTCTCCAATATGAGGTGTATTGCTTTCAAGCTCCCATATAAGCTCAGAGAGAGGTGGCGCACAAAGGCATTTGAGTTGCAAGAACAGAGGAACAAGGTAAAGATGGTAGATCTCGTCAGCTTCATTGAAAAACAAGCTAACATTGTCTCAGACCCAATATTTGGTGATATCCAAGACTCAAGCCCAAGTAAAGGAAAGCCCAAAGTGCTAGTGAAGCCCAAATCCAAAGGCAGTTTTGCTACCAATGTGCATGTGAACTCACCACAGACCACATCTAAGGATTCACAGCCAATTTCATGTCTCTACTGTAACAATGGACATGATTTGATGTCATGCTTGCAGTTTGAAAAGCAGCCGCACAGAGAAAAGATAAACTTTATAAGACAGAATGGAATCTGTTTTGGGTGTTTAACCAAAGGAGGACATATAAGTAAAGACTGCACACAGCATCTGAACTGCTCCATATGCAACAAACAGCATCCAAGTGTGTTACACATTAAAGCATTGGAATCATCAAAACAACTGAAGAAAACACCTGTGAGTAGCACACAGGTCTCCCTTCAAGATGGTAAGCATGCTGGAGTCAGAAACATGCAGTTTTACACAGAGTGTTTGTTGTCGATTGTACCAGTACAGGTTAAAAGCTCAAAAGGAAGTAAGATTCTGCACACATATGCCTTTCTTGATCCTGGTAGCTCGGCAAGCTTCTGCACAGAGGATCTTATGAGGAAACTCAACATTACTGGAAGAAAGACCAATATTCTTCTTCGAACAATGAGCCAGGATAAGTCTGTGCCCTCGTACATTGTCAGTGGGTTGGAAGTGTCTTCACTGGAAGAAAGTAACTTCATCCACCTGCCAGAAGTATACACCCAAAAGATCATGCCTGTTGACACCTGTAACATTCCCACAAAGGAAGAACTATCTAAATGGCCATACCTGAGTCAGGTACAGTTTCCTAGGATTCCAGCCAAGGTGGAGTTGTTGATTGGAAGCAATGCTCCCAAAGCCATTGAACCTTGGGAAATCCTTAATAGCCAAGGGGATGGGCCATATGCAGTTAAGACCCTACTAGGATGGGTTATTAATGGTCCTTTACAAGGCAAAAACACAGCAAACAGGAACAGTTGTGATGGTGGTGTTGTTAACAGAATTTCTATCTTGAACTTGGAAGAAATGTTGATGCAACAATACAACCATGATTTTAATGAGCGTTCATGTGAAGAGAAGGCTGAAATGTCTATAGAAGACAAAAGATTCATCAAGATTGCAGAACAGTCAATAAAATTAAAAAATGGACATTACACTCTTAATCTACCTTTTAGGAAGGACGACACAGTGTTGCCTAACAATTACCAAGTGGCAGAACAGCGACTTCAAAGTTTGAAAAGAAAGTTCAAGAGGAATGAAAAATTCAAAACCGAATATACTGAATTTCTAACAGAAGTCATAAAAAAGGGCTATGCTGAAGTGGTGCCGCAACAAGAGCTGAAAAGATCAGATGGTAAATTGTGGTACATCCCACATCATGGTGTATACCATCCTCAAAAACAGACCATAAGGGTGGTCTTTGACTGTGCTGTTACTTTTCAAGGTAAATCCCTCAACTCAGAACTTCTTCAGGGTCCTGATTTGACCAGTACACTTTTTGATGTTTTGACCAGATTTCGCCAAGAATCTGTAGCAGTTATGACAGATATCAAAGCAATGTTCCATCAGGTCAGAGTGTCAAGATCAGATGTTGACTTCTTGCGATTCCTCTGGTGGCCAAGTGGTGATGTCAGCATGCCTGCTGTGGAACATCGAATGATGGTACATCTATTTGGGGCAGTCTCATCCCCCAGCTGTGCAAACTTTGCTCTGAGGCAAACAGCCAAAGACAACAAAGAATGTTTTCGAACTGAGGTGATAAACACGGTTGAGAACAACTTCTATGTAGATGATTGCTTGAAGTCCCTTCCAACAGAGCATGAAGCAGTAGAATTGGTGAAAGATCTAACATCTCTTTGTCAAACAGGAGGATTCCACCTCACAAAATGGGTGAGTAACAGTCGTACTGTTCTTGCACATATTCCAAAGGAAGACAGAGCTCAGAATGTAAGGGAATTGGATCTCGACAGGGAAAAGCTTCCCACTGAAAGAGCTCTTGGATTGTTGTGGTGCGTGGAGAATGATGTGTTTAAGTTCAATATCACTGTCAAGTGCAAATCCCACACCCGAAGAAACTTGCTATCAGTTGTGAGCTCCATCTATGATCCACTTGGATTTTTGAGTCCCTTTACTCTACCTGCCAAATTGCTTATCCAAGACCTCTGTAGGAGTAAATGTGGTTGGGATGAGGAAATACCACAGGCTGCAGTGGATAAGTGGACAAAGTGGATAAAGGATCTTGACGAGATAGAAGATTTCAGAGTGGCACGCTGTGTAAAGCCAACTGGTTTTGGAATGCTGAAGCAAGCAGAGCTGCATCATTTCTCTGATGCTAGTGAACAAGGATACGGCATAGTGAGTTACTTGAGACTGACTGATGATATGCACACTGTACATGTGTCTTTCATGTTGGGGAAAGCCAGAGTGGCCCCACTTAAGCACGTCACAAATCCACGTCTAGAACTTACAGCTGCAGTGCTAGCAGTCAGAGTCGACATTATGGTAAGGAAAGCTTTGGAGCTAGATCTCAAAGGCTCAACATTTTTGACTGATAGTCAGTCAGTGCTGAAATACGTTGCAAATGAGAATGCAAGATTCCGCACATTTGTAGCTAATAGGATCTCTGTTATTAGAGAAAACACAGATGTAAAACAGTGGAAATTCATCAGAACAAAGCAGAACCCAGCTGACCTAGCATCAAGAGGGGTGAGTGCCAGCACATTGGTGAAGTGCAAAGAGTGGATCCATGGACCAGACTTTCTATGGAAGAAAGAAGAGGAATGGCCTAAAGAGTCCCTGGGACCCATGTCTCTCTCTCTCGATGACCTTGAAGTTAAAAGGAACACCACTGTTTATAGTACTGTCATTAAAGAGAATGAAAATCCTACCAGCCAACTGCTTAACTATTTCTCAACTTGGACAAAGCTAAAGTTGGCAGTAGCATGGTTCTTGAAGTTCAAGAATATCCTTCGCTTGCTTATTGCAAAAAGAAAAGAGATACAGCCCACCTGCGTGAATAAGGACACTCAGAGCCAAAACAATGTATGTAATGAAATGAAAATATTCAAGACATCACTTTGTGGACAATCCATAGGCTTGGATGATCTCTTGAAAGCAGAAAAGGCCATTGTTGAGTTTTGGCAGAAACAAAGGTATGCAGAGGAAATGTCAAGAATTGGAAAGACATCACCTGCTGGAAAGCGCTTGAATAGATTCAGCAGCCTGTACAAGCTAGATCCTGTGATGGACGATGGAGTTTTGAGGGTTGGAGGAAGGTTGGACAAGTCTGCAATGCCTGAGGAGACCAAGCGACCTATAATACTTCCAAAAGATGTTCACATCTCCACACTTA